GTCTAAATTAACGGTGTAGATAGTTTTGGAAAATGTTTCAAGAACTGTAAGATTTTCTGTATCTGCATTTGGCTTGAACTGGAAGTGACAAATATCAAAAACTATTTGCTGAATTCCTTGGCTAGACCTTAATATTAAACCCTCTGAGCAAGTTTATCGTGCAAGGAATTCCACTCTGTGCTTTGTCTTTGAATTGGGTGAACTGCCACACCAATTTGATTCACAAGTAGGATTGGGACAGGCCTAGAAAATTTTTGAATTGTTTAATTGTGGGTTGATTCAGTAGAGCAATGTTTTTCCTCTAAAGTTTGGCCAAGTTGACTTCCATAAAGCACTCATGTTTCTTATTTAATCATTTATTTTTCTTGTGTATCATTCAAAGATATTGATGCAGTCTTTTGAGTTTTAACCATGGTCAGTGAAATATGGTTAGGCAGTAGAACCTGCACTCCTTGAACTTGTAGTTTCTTTTATTCCATAAGACATGAAAATATGAAATAAATATTACTGAGGTCTTATTTATTTATTTTTTTTTGTATGATGATGTTTATGGAAATTTTTAAAGAAAAATGGGTACATACTAATACATAACAGAGTCTTCAATTGGGTGATCTGTGACTAGATTGAATCCTTCGTGATGCATTTGACCATGCTACGTATCCATTTACTGCGATTAATAAGTCATGACGCTCTCACCTCAAACTAGATTGAGCTTCAAGATTATTTGCCATGCCTCAATGCCCTGCCTTAGTTAATTACACCATTTTATTCAAATGGTTCAATATCGTCAACATTTCTATGATATCACTAGAAATGACAATTGATCTTCTAATATCAATATTGAATCTTTCAATTTATAAAAATATAGATAGAAATCTCACTCGATAAGAAAGTGTATCATGCTATGAACATAACAATTTTTTTTTATATGAAATAATGGTTCCAAATATCCTGGTCTTTGATTAATTATCAACTATTTTTTATTTTTCTGGGTGAAAAATATCAATTTACCATAGGTTTTATTGGTTTTAAATGTGTAAATTACAACGGATTAAACTAATTTGTCTCCTTTTAAAGTTCCTAGTTGGGTTGAGTTTGGATCAGAGACAATGGACTAAAGAAACAGTATCTGGGGAAGTTTTTTCAATTTTTTACTTTTCTAAAATTTCATAGTTGAAATGTGAAGTGTTGATGAAAATTTAAATCTCTAACTTTTTGATCAAAATATATATCTTAACTCATTGACCATACTCAATTTGCTGTGTAGATTTGCTGTGTAGGAGCGTTCTTATTATAACAAAACATCTAATTTAATCTAAATAATATTAAAATGACATATAAAATGAAAGGTGTCTAGTAGTGCAATTAACTTACAAGTATAGGTTTGGTGCCCTATTCTATTTCTGCTCTATTCCCATGTATAGATTCATACTGTTTAGCATCTCTTAAAGAAAGAACAAAACAATTTCCCATAATTTCAAACCCCAC